CTCTGTGAACATTCCCTGGTTTATCAATTTCCTCCTTAAAATACTGCACCCAAAAAAGAACACAATATTCCATAACCCAACAAGGGCACAGCACACAGGACTATCACTCCCTGTTCCTGAGTACTATTGATTCCATGATTTATTCTTTAACCTACCAATTATTTAGGATTTAGTCATTTGGTCTATTTTTAATCCTTTCTTCAAGTCATTTTATTGAATGTAGTTTTTATTATATTTGATCAGTAAAAGATAAGTTTAATATTTCTGCTTTTCTACATTCATTTGGGAGGTTTTATGTCCTTATACATGGTTAATTTTTTTGCTTTTTTTTTTTTTGATGAGGCAATCGGGGTCAAGTGCCTTGCCCAGGGTCAAACAGCTAGTAAGTGTCAAGTGTCTGAGGCCAGATTTGAATTCAGGTCCTCCTGACTCCAAGGTTGGAGCTCTATCCGCTGTGCCACCATACATGGTTAATTTTTGAAAAAGACTATATATAACTGAGAATTATATATATTCTTTTGCATTTTCATTCAACAATCACCAGAGGTCTATCATCTTTCTTTTTTTTTTTTTAAAGTTCTATTCAAGTCATTAACTACTTTCTTGTTTGCCTTTTTGTTAGATTTGTCTGGTTCTGAAAGAAGTACATTGAAGTCTCACTACAATTCAATTGGCTTTTCTTTCATGTATTTAGATATTACGCCATTTGGTATGCATATATTACACATTATGTTTGTTCATCTCTAGAGAGTCTTTAAATATAATTAATATAAAAGTATAATTATAAACATATCAGTATAATAACAAGCAAGGATAAGCTTCTCTATTTATCTGTTTTATTGTGTCTATTTTTGCTGTTGTTTTTCTGAAATCATAATTGCTACTCAAGCCTTTTTTAGTTCAGCTAATAATAAATTGCTATATAATGTACAATAATGTATAATTAAAAAATTACATGCATAATAAATTTTGTCTATTGTTAATTCTATGAATCTTTGATTTTCAGTATATTTCTGACAAACAATATATTTGATTCTGCTTTCTAATCCATTCTGCTATACTCTTCTTTTTTGTAGGAGTTTCTCTAAGAAACAGTTTCTCTCTTATAATTCTACCCTGAATTCTCAATGTGGACATTCTATTGGACAACCTTCCCAAAACTTCTTCCTGGGAAGAGCCCAGTACCTTGGACCTTTCCTGATCTCTTTGTCCTTCAAAATTTGTCCTATCTGGGGGAGCCAGATGACAGAGCAAGAAGTAAATCACCGTTAACTCTCCAATATTCTCCAAACAACCATAAAATAGCACCATCAAACAAATCCCAGAACAGCAGAACCAGCAAAAAGACAGGGTGAAATAATCTTTTAGCCCAAGAAACTTGGAAGATTGACAAAGGTCTGTCTTACTCAGGCAAACAGGAGCACAGTCCAGGACAGGAAGTGGCCCAGTAAGCCAGCAGCAAGCCCCACCTCAGCAAACTAATGGGAGATCCTGAGCTCCAGTGTGCTGGAGCAGGCAAACCCCAACACCAGGACTCCCCACATGCCTCAGCATAGCCAGGGGAACAGACAGACTCCAGCTCCAAAAACCACTGCACATTTCAGTGTAGCCCTGGACAAATAAGCAACCTTCAATGGGCAGACAGTTACATGCTTCAGTGTAGCCCCAGGAAAATGCAGAAACACCCCACTGGCCTCAGCACACAACAGACATCACCACTAGGACCCTCAGTTCAGCACCTCAGTTAAGCAGCGCCAGCCATCCCAACCATACCTCTCAGCACAGCACATTGGGTGCAGAAGGAAGGGAGAGGTAGAATGGGATAAATTATTTCAGATGAAGAGGCACGAAAAACCTATTACAGTAAGGGGAAGATGGGAGGGTGGGCAATAGGTATCACTTGAACCTTAATCTCATTAGTATTGGCTCAAAGAGGGAATAATATATACAATCAGTTGAATATAGAAATCTAGCTTACCGGACAGGGAAGTAGGAGGGGAAGAGATTAATTAAAGGGAGGTGGGGGTAGGTAGAAACTGGCAGAAGGGAGGACAGATCAAGGGAGCTAGTAAACAGAAGCAAAATACTGGTGAGGATGGAAAGGGTGGAAGGACAGAGAGGATAAATAGGAGGAAAAATAGGATGGAGGGAAATACATAGTTAGTAATCATAACTGTGAATATGAATGGGATGAGCTCTCCCATAAAATGGAAGCAGAAAACAGAGTGGATCAAAAACTAGAATCCTACAATATGTTTACAAGAAACACACTTGAAGCAGAGAGACACACACAGAGTGAAGGTAAGGGGCTAGAACACAATCTATTATACTTCAGCTGAAGTTAAAAAAAAAAGAGGAAGCAATCCTGATCTCAGACAAAGCAAAAGAAAAAACAGACCTAATTAAAGAGATAAGGAAGGAAACCACATATTGCTAAAAGGTACCATTACAATGAAGTAATATCAATATGAAACTGACATGCATCAAGTAGTATAGCATCTGAATTCTTCTTCTTCTTTTTTTTTTTTTTGGCTAGGCAATGGGGTTAAGTGACTTGCCCAGGGTCACACAGCTAGTAAGTGTCAAGTGTCTGAGGCTGGGTTTGAACTCAGGTCCTCCTGACTGCAAGGCCAGAGCTCTATCCACTGAGCCACCTAGCTGCCCCTAGGATCTGAATTCTTAAAGGAGAAGTTAAGTGAATTACACATTCGTGACCAAACAAAAGAAAGACAGCATTATGAAATGTAAAATAGATCATTTTGATTATATTAAATTTAAAAGCTTTTGCACAAACAAAACCAATACAACCAAAATTAGAAGGAAAGCAGAAAGCTAGAAAACAATCTTCACAGCAAGTGTCTTTGATAAAGGCCTCATTTCTCAAATATATAGAGAACTGAGTTTATAAGAATACAAGCCATTTTCCAATTGATAAATGGTCAAAGGACATGAATAGGCAGTTTTCAGATGAAGAAATTAAAGCTATGTAAAGGCATAGGAAAAAGTGCTCTAAATCACTTTTGATTAGAGAAATGCAAATTAAAATAACTCTGAGGTAGTACCTCATACCTATCAGATTGGCTAATATGACAAAAAAGGCAAATGATAATAAATGTTAGAGAGGATATAGAAAAATTGGGACACTGATGAACGACTGGTGGAGTTGTGAACTGATCTAACCATTCTGAAGAGCAATTTGGAACTCTGCATAAAAGGCAACCAAACTCTGTGTGTGTGTGTGTGTGTGTATACACATATATACATACACACACACACACACACACATACACCTTTTGATCTAGCAATACTACTACTAGGTCTGTATCCCAAAAAGATCATAAAAAGGGAAAAGGACCTATATATGCAAAAATATTTATAGCAGCCCTTTTCGTGGTCGCAAAATATTGAAAATTGAGGACATCCCCATCAATTGGGGAATGGCTGAACAAGCTGTAGTCAATGAATGCAATGGAATACTATCGGGCAATAAGAAATGATGAACAGGTAGATTTCAGAAAAACCTGGAAAGACTTGTATAAACTGATACAAAGTGAAATGCAGAGAACCAGGAAAACATTGTACACAGTATCAGCAACATTGTGTGATGATCAACTATGAATGATTCAGCTCTTCTCAGCAACACAGTGATCCAAGACAAGTACAAAGGACTCATGAAGGAAAATGCTGCACACACACAGATAAAGAACTGATGGACTCAATACAGATCAAAGAATACTTTTTTAACTTACTTTATCCTTCTTTGTTTTTTTTCCTTTTGATCTGTTTCTTCTTTCACAACTGTGACTAATATGGAAATATGTTCTACATGACAGCACATATATAACCTACATCAAATTGCCTACCATTTTAAGAAGAGGGAAAGAGAGAAAGGGAGGGAGAAAAATTTGGAACTCAAAATCTTGTAAAAATGAATGCTAGGGGGCAACTAGGTGGCGCAGTGGATACAGCACTGGCTCTGGAGTCAGGAGGACCTGAGTTCAAATCCGGCCTCAGACCTAGCTGTGTGACTCTGGGCAAGTCACTTAACCCCAACTGCCTCACCCCCCAAAAAAAAATATACATATAATTTGGAAAAATACTATTAAAATTTTTTTTTTTTAATTTGTCCTATCTGTCCTCTTGTCCTATGTACCTTTACTTCCCTCAAGGCTTTCTCAGACAACTAATATAATGAAATAATTCTAGTTAGTGAAGCTTTTTTAAAAAAGAAACAGAAAAAGAAAAGAACATAGTAATCTTAAGGTAAGATGACATTTACTATTTACTATTACTAGTGCATTGTGATTACAAAAGTGTATTATTCTCTCAAAAGGAGAAAAACTCGTCCAATATTAAGGAATATACATAAATTAAGTTTCTTAGAGTCAATTTCCCAGAAAGTCTGAAAGTTGGAAGGCACTTCATCAATCATTAAGGCCAACCCATTCACAAAAAGAATCTCCACCATAAAAAAAACCAGAGAAATGAGTGTTCATCCTCTGCTCGAGAATGTCCAGTGAAGGGGTCCTTCTAATCTTAAACCATAGGTTATATATCCCAAACTAGTTTTTTAAACCTCATTTACTTGGTGCTTTTTGATATTCAAAAGCATTTTTCTATCTTTCAGTTAATATGAGCCTCACAATAGTCCCATGAGTTAGCTAGTGCAGATTTATTATCCCCATTTTATAGAATAAACTGGTAAAAATAATAGAGTTGGTCAGGAATATGTATAAGCTCTATGAAAAGAGAGATCATATCTTATTTCCCTCTCCTCCTAGCACAGTGCTCTAACTATATGTTCTTTATAAATATTTGTTGAATTAAATTCTATCTAAAGAGTTATACTGAAATATTAATAGTAATCTTCCATGCCTTAGTAATCTCCTATGTTTGAACACATCCTTATAACCCAACTTCTAAGATAAGCACAATTTTTCTATGCCAAGCCAAGTATAATATAGCAGGGGTTGGATAATCTAAAATACAGTTGTAATTACCTTGAATGTTTCTGCTTCTACACCAACTAGCCCAGCAATGGAAGAAATTAGTAGTGCAGGTCCATAAACAGTATCTTTAGGCTCTGTGTAAGAGAACATTCCATCTGTTTCATCAATATATGTCCCATCTTCTGCAGGTAGGTTTACTGATCTAAAGAAAGAGAAAGAACCATTACATAAAGCAAAAATATCATTAATGGAAGATAATCATGTATAGCCTAATTTTTATATGTCTTAAAACAATAAAATATATCCTTTTGGCTAGTTCCTATATAAATTATAAAAGAATCAATAAATCACAGTTATGAATTAGACAAAGAAAATTTTCAAGGCTATGAGAGAAGTAATCTAGACAGTCTCTATTAAGTTGACTAGTATATCTACTTTTCAAGTTCATAAAGACTTGAAGTTTTACCAGAATGTTCAGTTTCAAATTTGTAATTCAGAATGTGACCAAAAAAGTTTATTTCTAAACTGGTTAGCTTAGCTCTCCCCAGAAACAACTTCAGCTTTTCTCAAGGTTCTGAAATGGCATTTTGCAAAAAAAAAAAATCATCTTCAAAAAGTAAATGTGGGGGAGTACCCATCAATTAGAGAATGGCTGAACAAGTTAAGGTATATGAATGTGAATGAATATAATTGTGAAATGAAAGAAATGATGAAAGAGATGATTTCAGAAAAACTTCTGAAGACTTGTACAAACTAATGTATAGTGAAGTGAGAACCAGAAAAACAATTTATACAATAACAATAATATTATAAAGACAAACAACTTTACTTAAGAACTCAGATCAACATAAGAACCAACTGCAATTCTAGAGGACTCATGTTGAAACACGCTGCCTTCTCTCCTGAGAAGAAGGTGATGGACTCAGAATATAAATTGAGGCATTTGCGTTTGTTTGTTTTCGGACATGACAAACATGGGAATTTGTTTTGACTATACATGCTTGTAGGGAGTTTTTGGTTACTTTCTCAGTGGGGGTGAGAAGTGAGATGTGGGAAAGAAAGAATTTGTAGCTAAAAAACCAGAATTTTAAGAAAAGAGTAAATGCTTACATTCAGTTCAACAGACATTTATTAAGCATCTAATGTGTACAAGGCATTGTTCAAAGCATTAAAGGTACAAAGAAAAAAATGAAATCGTTTCTAACTTCAACGAATTTACATTCTACTGCAGGTTACAATGTATGGATAAGAAAATATAACACAATTTGACAAGAAAGAACTTTAACAACTGGGAATATTAGAAAAAAATTAAGATAACAAATCTTAAATGCCAGGCTGAGAAGTTTGCATTTTATCCCAGTGGCAATAGAAGCCACTGAAGAAGTTTGAGCAAGGGTTAGGATTAGTGTTAGTGTTAAAGTAACATGGTCAGACCTATGAAAGATGATTTTGGAAGACATAGAAGATAAATTGTAGTTGGAAGAGACTAGAAACAGGGAGACTGATTAGAAAGTGACGTGTCTAGGTAAAAAGTGATAAGGGTATGAACCATGGCAACAGCCATGTGAGCAAAAAATTATTCTATCTTAACTATTTTTGTATATCATAATGGCATCAGGATTGGGAAGGGAAGAGAATATGATAAGGGCAGGAGTGATGGCCTAAGAAATAATTAAAGGATGGTGCGAATGAGTACCTGGAGTCATAAAAATAGGAAAAGATGGAATGACAAAAGATTGTCATTGATTAAGTGAACTTTGGAGTTCAAGAGCCCAAGAATTTGGATGTCTAAATGTCTAAACAGAATTGGAGATGATAAAAACCTATGCCTTTGTTAACATTCTATTCAAAGTTTAAAGATGTCTTGGGGATAAAATGGCCCTCTCTTTAATGCTATAAAATCTTTGACTTCTTTTTCCTTGAAATTGATATTTTCAGAAAAGTTTCATACTTGAGAGAATGCTAATACACTCAAAGTTTTTGAAAGCAGAAGTCAATTAGTTTTTTTTTTCTCCTCAGTCCTCTTTACTCCTTGCTTCTATAAGTAGGCCAATGACTAATGAAAAAGTTGTATGTGCTTTATACTTTCCTGTATGGAAAAAGATATAAAAAACTCTATCAGTTGCAAACTCTATATTTGTTCTATCACCAATCACACCTTGCCAAATGCTAACCCAGAATCCAATCCAATCTGATACATGTTTATTTTTTTCTCTTAATTTTTATTTTTTTTTCCATATGCTTTTGAGTTGAAAATTTTTCTCCCTTTTTCTCCCCCCAACCCTCTCCAAGACGGCACACAATCTGACATAGGCTTTACATTTACATACCCATTAAACATATTTTCACATTAGTGAAGTTTTAAGTAAAAATTAAAACCAATAGGAGGAACCATCAGAAAGATGAAACAAAACTCAACAGAAGGTAAAAATAAGTGAGAGCGATTCGACTTCCATAGTTCTTTCTTTGGATGTGGACAGCATTTTCCATCCTGAGGCCTCTGGAGATGTTTTAGACCCTCGTAATGCTGAGAAGGGTTCAGTTTAACATTCTTAGTCATCGCATAACTTGGCTGCTATTGTGTACAAAGTCCTCTTGGTTCTGCTCACTTCACTCAGCATCAGACCATATAAGTCTTCCCAGGTTTTTCTTTCCCAGCCTGTTCATCATTTCTTATAGCACAATAGTATTCCATTACATTCATATACCACAACTTGCTCAGCCATTCCCCAACTGATGGGCATCCTCTCAATTTCCAATTCTTTGCCACCACAAAAAGAGCTGCTATGTATATTTTTGTACATGTGGGTCTGATACACGTTTATTAGGCACTGTGCTAAACACTTAATTTTTCTAAAAGGACAGTCCCTCCCCTTAAGGAATTTTCAATCTAACAGGAAGAGACAAAACACAAAAGGAAGCAGGAAAGGGAGGGGAGACAAATAAAGACCGGGGAGTACCCAGCACCTGGGGCATCTTATTCCATGGAGTTAAAACCAGGCAGAATAGCAGATGTAGAGTAAAGTAAGGATCATCTCCACCACACACCTACTTTACTATAACTCATGGGCTGTTGAATGGAGCTTGAAAAAAATCACAAAACTATATAGATTCATTACAAATTTATGTAATCCACTAGCAATGAGACCAGTCTGCTCCTAGAGAGTAGATAAAGCACTGGGCCTGGAATCAGGAAGAGCTGAGCTCAAATTTAGCCTCCAGACACTTACTAGCTATATGATCAGAGACAAATCATTTAACTTCTGCCTCAGTTTCTTCAACTATCAAATGGGGATAATAACAGCACCTGTCTCCCAGGATTGTTGTAAGGATCAAATGATCAAAATATTTGCAAAGTACTTAGCACAGTACCTGGCACATAGTATTCCTTTCCTTCCTTCCTTTTCTTCCTCCTCCTCCTTCCTTCCTAATCAATTTGCTATCACACTCTCCATAGCAACTAATCTAAACCTATCCTCAAATTTTCCAAAGCCCCTCACACTTCACCCTCTCAGATAAGACCTCACTTGAAACTTCACTGAAGAATTGGAGCCATTCTCCAAGAAATCTAATTTCTCCTCTCCTCCTCATCTCACATCTATCAGATATCCTCACAATCTCCTCCTACACTCTGGTCTGGCATGAAGAGGTAGCCTTTCCCCTCATCAAGGCCAACCTTGACAAGGTTGAGTTACCTCAACTGTAAAATGGGGATAACAGCACCTACCTTGCATGGCTGTTGCAAGGATCAAATGAGATATTTGTAAAAAGCACTTAGAACAGTACCTGGCACAAAGTAGGCATTATATAAATGCTTATTCCCTTCCCCTTACTCCAACCCCTGTATATGTACCCTTGATTCCACCCCTTCCCCATCTTCTCCAGAAGATTACCACAATATCATCCCCAATCTCTCTCTCTCTAGTCTTCATTCCCTTCCTATCTATTGGCTCCTTCTCTGTCACCAAAAAAAATATGTTCATGTCTCCCCCATCCTTAAAAAAGCTTCACTTGATCCAACTATCCCTGTTGGCCAACATCCTATATCTCTCCTCCTTTTCAGGTAAAATCTCTATTCTTAGCCCTCTGTAAACTGACTTTTGACCTCATCATTCAACTGAAACTCCCCTCTCCAAAGTTACCAATAACATCTTAATTGCCAAATCTAATGGCCTTTTCTAAATCTTCATCTTTCTTGACCTCTGCACTACTGACTACAATCTCCTGGATATTTTCTCTTCTGTAGGTTTTTGTGACCCTGCTCTCTCCTGGTTTTCTTACTACCTATCTGATTGCTTTTTCTCTTTCTCCTCTGTTGATTCTTTATCTCTCATGTCTATGAACTCTAGGTGTCCCTCAAGGTTCTGTCCTAAGTACACCTCTCCTTTTGCTTTATATTATCTCACTTAGTGAGCTCATCAGCTCCCATTACTTCAATATCATCACTATGCAAATGATTATTAGATCTATATATCCAGCCCTAGAATCTTGAACTGGATGTCTTAAAGGAATCTCTAACTCAACAAGTTCAAAACACAATTGTCTTTACCCTAAACCCTTTCCTAGGGGTTTAAACTCCTCTAGGACTCTTAAGGGCATCACTAACCTCCCAGTTACCCAAACTCCCAACATTGCTGTCATCTTTGACTCCTCACTGGACTCCCCCCACATATCTAATCTATTGTCAAATCCTGTTTCTATCTTCACAACATTGTTTGTATAGGCCCCTTTTCTCCTCTCACATAGCCACCAGTCTGGTTCAGGACTTCATCACCTCTTGTATAGACTAATGAAGTAACTCACCAATTGATTTCTCTGCTTCCTTGTCTCTCTCCAGGCCAATCAATCCTCCACTCAGTTCCTAAAGTAAACATCTAAGGATGTCACCCCCAGACTCAATTAAACTCTAGTGGCTCCATATTACTTCTAGATTCAAATATAAACTCTTCTGTTGAGTTTTTGGTTTTGCTTTTTACAATTTGGATCCTTACATTTTCAATATTCTTATACTTTATTCTCCTCCCTAACTCTATTATCTAATCATAATAGTTTACTTGCCTTTGTACTTGTTATTCCTAGCAAGGAGAAGTTCTCTACCTTTACCTCTAAGTTTCTCTGGCTTCCTTCAAGCCCCAACTCAAATTCCATTTTCTTTCACAGCTGCTAGTGTCTTCATCTATGATATTTAACTTCGATATATCT